ATTAAGATATTTAGCAACTAAAGGTTTAAATTATTTTACTTTCGGCAGCCAAGGTCGAACGGAAGCGGGAGTAAACCGAATTAAGAATATATTTAAAAATGATTTTAGGTTTGAGGAGGGAGAGGATGCGGAAGAATGAATAGAAGAATGGGCGGCGGATGATGATTTTGATAATAACTTATACAAAATAGGGCATATTCGTGACTGACAAGAAAGCCAAATAACCGCCTGTGTTGTCGAAGTTCCTTAAGTTAGAGGTAATAACAACTAAAAATTAAGATAATAATGTGTTAGATTTGAAAAAATTATTCACCGATTTTCCCGGTTTAGTGCGGGGTTTAGAGTCACGTGGAGTAAGTGAGGAGCAATTAACAATCCTTCGGGAACGCTATAAAGAAGAAAAGGAAATAATTCATACTCTCAATAAACTTCGCCAGCAGAGAAACCAATTGGAGGGTCCCAACAATGCAGAAAAAGTGCGAGAAGTTAGAGAAGAAATTGCATTTTGGGAAGAAAAATTACGGACAGCAATCCAGGAAGTCGAAAATTTAGCCAACCAAATTCCTAATTTGCCAGCACCAGACACCCCCACTAACGAAGAAGGCAACCGAGTAATCGCTAGCACCGAATACCAACATACTATTCAACACAATTTAACCCACGAAGCAATTCTAAAAAAATTAAAATTAATTGATGAGGAAAAAAGTATTCTCCTCTCCGGCAGCAAATTCACAGTTTATCAAGATTTCGGCAGCCAATTATTACACGCTCTTATTAATTTTATGCGGGCAGAAAATAGTAAGCGGGGTTATCGTTTATTTGACACTCCTTATTTAGTCAAGGCTCATAATCTTTATAATACCGGACAATTCCACAAGTTCCAAGATAATCTTTATAAATTGGAGGATAGCGATTTTTACCTCCTCCCCACCGCCGAAGTCAGTTTAGTTAATCTCTACCAAAATCAAATATTAGCCGAAGCAGAATTGCCTTTGAAGTTATGTGCTTATAGCCCCTGCTTTCGGGCTGAAAGAATGGCTTCTGGTCAGGAAAATAAAGGCTTAATTCGTCTACACCAATTTCATAAAGTCGAATTAGTGAAAATAGTTGAACCCGCCAACTCTTATGACGAATTGAAAAAAATGTTGGCTGACGCTCGCAATATTCTCCATCTGTTAAAAATCCCCCATCGCGTAATTGAACTTTGCCTTTCTGAATTAGGATTTACAGCAGCCAAAACTTATGACATTGAGGTCTGGTTGCCAATCAGCCAAAAATGATTAGAAATTTCTTCATGTAGCAATTGTGAAGACTTTCAAAGTCGTCGAACTCAAATCCGAGTCAAAAAAGAAAACCAAAAATATTATCCTCATACCCTTAATGGCTCGGCTCTGGCGGTTGACCGCCTAATTATTATTTTATGCGAATATTATTATAATGAGAAAGAAAATAGATTAATTATTCCCGAAATTTTGCAGCAGTATTTTTAGGTTTTTCACCCTAACAAGAAATTACCCTCTTCAAAACTTTGTTAAGTGAGGAAAAATTGCTAAAAATATTTACATAATATGAAAATAAATACACGAATATACGAAACTAATAATAAACTGTATAAAAGTAATGAAGAACACTTGAAAGATATTAGAGATAAATTTAGTGATAAAAGAGCGATTAAAAATATAATTCAGTGTCATCATTTTAATTACCAAGGAAAAAACATTGGTTACATAGAATTTAAAAATAAAGACAAAGAGTTTTATAAACAACAATTAACAATCTTTCCCGAGGATAAGTGAGTGAGTATTGAAATAGATGACAGCAAAGCAACAATAGTTCCTCGTTTTGGTAGTGGCACCGCTGAGCCAAGATGAGTATTAAAATTTACTGAAAGGGCTAATTTTAAAGAATCAACTGATGAATTTCGATTTAAGGTAAAAGATAAAGATAGGGTGGGACATGTTGATTATAGAGATACAAGAATGATTATAGACATAGAGGAAGAGAATTTAAATGATTATCCAGCATTTAAGTTAGGTTTGTGAGGCCAACGATTATATCTTGAGTGTCCCAATAAGCAAAGTTTTGTTGAGTTTTTTAATTATATTAAAGTAGGTGAGGAATACGTTGTTGATTTAAGAGATATAAAATGGGAGCACCAGTGGAACGGAAATACCGGAGACATTACATATCGAGTTTATCAGGAATCGAACGGCAAAAAAGTAATAAGAAAAGTTGGTGAAGAATCGATTCCAAAAAAATCTTCCGACCAGAAAGAAACAAAAAAATTAGAAGAACTTCGCAAGCAAGCCCGAGAAAGAATTAACGCGGCTCTAAATGAAGACCCAGTTGTTTTTAGTAGCGAATTGAGCAAAAATGATTGAGATGACCTTCTAAATCATGCTAAAACTGAAAATGAATTAGTGAAGTTGGAGATTATAGTATTAACCGAAATTGAAAAAAAACGCAATGCTAAAAAAGGCAAACGTAAAAGAGAAGACGAGAAAGGAGAGGATATTCATGACAACAACAAGAAACCTAAATTGGATGACGAGGATAAAAAGAATTACGAAGGCTTTCTTAAAAATGGAATATTAAATGAAGTTGAAGATAATAAATTGAAAAGCGGACTTGAAGTCGCAATCCGATTGGAAGGCGAAAAGGAATACGATGATGAAAAAACTAGAAAAGAAATAGAAGAAGAGTTATGAAAAAGAAATCCTCAACTTTGCCGAAGCACAATCGTTACTTCTCTTAAAGAAAGATTGAAAGATAATAACATTATTGCTGATGAATTGAGTGAAGAAGTCAAAAAATTAATTAATGGCGAAATTACTAATGAAGATAAATTTAAAACAATTAAAGAACAAGCCATCAAAGAAATTGGTCAAAAAGGTGCTGAAAGAAAATGAACTTCTTTATTTAATAAAGCCAAATCATTCTTGGAGGAGGCCAAAAAAAATATTACCAAAAAAGTAAAAGAAAATTTGAAAATAATCCAAGAACAGATTAAAAACTTAAGCTCAGAAACTAACTCTTATTTGGCTAGTTTTTATAGTAGCAACAAAGGTCAGGTAGAAAGGTTAGAAAAGAGTATTAGCACGGTTTTAAACCAAAATCAAACTGGTTCTGAACCAAAAGCAGTTCCGTGAGGAATAATTATTCCGGTTTCACTGGTGGTAGTTTTGGCAGTAGTAGTGGCAACAGTATTGGTGAAAAAGAGAAAGAAAAATAGATAAAATATTTTAAGAATAGAATAATCAAAGATTATTCATTTCAATAGACACAGATAGAAAAATAAATAATAAATATTTTGCCTATAGAGCCAAAAATAGATATAAAGATATTTTAATAGACAGGAGAATAAGAAAAAGAATATCATATTGATATATGACCACAAGTAAAAATAGTAATAATTATAAATTAATAATTGGACGCCACTGTCCTTTTAAAGCACCTTATTATTTACCAGGGGCGGTTCAGGAGGCAGTAAGTTATGGCTCTAATGCCTTGATGATTTATTTGGGGGCACCCCAAAATACTCGCCGCCGACCCTTAACCGAATTAAAAATACCGGAATTTTGTCAAATTCTAGCAGAAAATGATATCAATATTGACAATGTTATAGTCCACGGTCCTTATGTAACAAATCTGGCTAATCCCGACCGAGCAGAAATTTTTAACTGGTCGGTGGAATTTCTGAAAAAAGAAGTTACTCGCATGGAAGCAATTGGTTTAAAAACTCTTATTCTTCATCCCGGCAGTGCAGTTGATGCACCCATTAATGATTCTCTATCCCAGGTGGCTCATGGAATTAATTTAATTCTCCAAAAAAGCATCCAAGCCCGCATCGTTTTAGAAACCATGTGCGGTCGGGGCAGCGAAGTAGGAATAAATTTCGAACAATTGAAATACATTATTGACCGGGTTGAACAAAAAGAACGAGTGGGTGTTTGTTGAGATACTTGTCATTTGTGGACGGCCGGTTATGACATTAAGAATAACCTGGAAGCGGTTATTGAGGAATTTGACCAGAAAATCGGTTTAGAAAAATTATGAGTCATCCACATTAATGATAGTGCGGCAGAATTAGGAGCCAAAATTGACCGCCACGAAAATATTGGCTATGGAAAGATTGGTTTAGAAGCTTTGAAAAGAATAATTTGACACCCTAAATTCAATGGGATACCTAAAATATTAGAAACACCCCGCCGTCGCGAAGACTTTAAGGAAGAAATTAGAATTTTGAAGGAGAAAAATTAATTATTGACATAATGGTTATTAAAAAAAAAAAAAAAACAGTTTTGCTAATTAGAATAATTATCGGAGTAATTGGTCTAGTAGCAGGCGTTTTTTTAATTAAAAATATTTTCTCGTCCGCAGAGAATAAGGATAGACAACCAACCAAAGCTCCTCCCATTCCCCCTCCCGTTTATCCCGAGGAACAAGATAATTGTCCTTATAATGAAAAGAGTTTGACGACTTTTTCCCAAAGTAATTACGAAAGAGCCAACCAGGAGGATTTAGCCAGATGAAAATTAATCCCCCGCAACTACATAGTTAAATGTTGAAAAAAAGGTTATCATTGACATGATATTATTCAACTTTGAGGGTGAAAAATACCAGAGGAGGAAATTCCGGATTTAACTTCACAAGAAAGGGTTGGAGTAATAAATGGGTTAATTTTCATGCCGAATCCAAAAATGTATGATGAATCCATTTCAACAGAAGAAAAACTGGAAATAGCGGAAAATAATCACTGAGTAGGCCGAACAACCGGTTTGGTAATTATTGTGCGAAAAATCCCCCATGGCGGCCCCCAGATTAATATTGATGAAAGGTTTGGAATGAGGAATGAGGACGAACGGGGAGACTGCGGCCAAGTAAGAAAAATAATTAATTTGGCCTTCCAGCAAGAAAATATTAACCCCCAGCAGTGCGAAGTATCGGTTTTATGAACCATTGGAGCCCACAGGTTTGGTAATGAATGAGACATTAATTGTGGGTCAAGCCGAGGAAGTTCCGGCGGAAGTGCGATTTATTTAGCTTTATTAAGCATTCTCCACCGGAAGCCAATTTCCCGGCAAGTGGCGGCTACTGGCACCCTAGGAATGTCAGAGCAAAAAGGAACTATAAACGGTCAAGAAATTATTTTGCCCCCCGGAACTAATTTGCCGATTGCTGGTCTCCGCGAGAAAATTATTGCTTGTGCGGAAAAAGGAATTAATAAAGTAGTACTCTCTAAATTTCAGTCCTCTCCTAATCTTTTAGTCAAAAAGGACGATTTAAACCCGACAATAGAATTAAAATTTCCTGATTATCAAGAAGTAGTTCCAACTGAAATTAAGGCCAAAATAAAGAAAATACATTGAACTGAAAATGTTTCTGAATTAAGAGAATTGGTTTTAGAAAATAAATTGTCTTAGCCATAACTAAAGAAAGGGACAAATCATTGTTAACCCTTACCAAATAGAAAATGACAAATGTCCCCCTCTTTAACGATGTATTGAGCCCCCTCACTTCTAATTTTGCCTAATTTTCTCAACTGCGTTTCGCTCGGATTGCCTAATCAATCAATATAATTATATACTTCTAATCGAATGAAATTTTTTTGGATATCGGTATGAATTAGCCCCGCACATTCTCGGGCCGTCATTTCTTTTTTGGCTAATCAACTTTTAGTTTCTTCTGCACCGGCAGTGAAAAAAGTTTTCAGATTCAGCAATTCTTTAATTTTTTCTGTTAGTGAGGAGAGGTCAGTAGTTTGTCAACCGAGTTCTTTTTTTTCTGCTGCCGATAATTCAGTCATTTCTTCCTCTAATTTAACAGCCAAAGGAAAGAAAAACAATCCTTTCTTTTTAGCGTGTTCTCTTAATTCGTGAACCTCTTTTTCTTCCCCGCTATAATTAGCCAACAAAAGAACCGGTTTGTTAGTCAAAAAATGATAACCTTTGATTAATTCCTTTTCTGCGGCGGCTAAGTCTAATTGACTCACTGGTATTTCTTGGGTCAATTTCTCCTGAATTGATTGTAAAACATTTTTTTCTTTTTGGGCTTTTTCATCCCGAATTTTTAACTTGGTTAATTTTCTTTCTATTTGTTGCAAATCTGCCTCAATTAACTCTAATTGAATTATTTCCCAATCCCGAATGGGATTCACCGACTTTTCTACATGAACTATATCTTGGTCCGAAAAACAACGAAGGACCTGACAAATTAAATCGACCTCCCGAATATGGGATAAAAACTCATTGCCTAATCCGGAACCTTGGGCGGCCCCTTTCACTAAACCGGCAATATCAACGATTTCAATAACGCTCGGAGTCGTTTTTTTGCTTTGCCAACATTTGCTTAATTTTTCCAAACGAGAATCAGCAAGCAGCATTATCCCCACATTAGGAGTAATAGTTGCGAATGGATAATTAGCGATCAAAATATCTTTTTTGGTTAAAAAATTGAATAAACTGGATTTACCGACATTTGGTAAACCGACCAGACCGATTTTAATGGGCATATTGTATGTTTTTAGTGCTAATTTGCGAACCGCCTAAATGTTTTTTTGTCTTTTTTCCGACTTTTTATCAGTCATAGAAAGATAATGATTTCCATTCCGGTTGAGACGCTAAAAATGGCTCAATGATATTTATTGAAAATTGGTTCAATGGGTTTTAATTTATCCGTAATTTTTTTTGACAATTGTGGATTAGAAGTGGAGGTAGTGGCAACTAGCGTAAATTGCGAGAGGTCAATAATTTCCTCTATTTTAATTTT